GATTAGCTCGGTGATGAATACAAGGACAAATATGGTGATGATGAGGACATGGGTGAGATCGGTGAACGCGTTCAAATTTGGGAGAATGGGTGCGTGTGACCCTAACCCTATTATAAGGTTTAATTTACCCTGTGCCTCGGTCCGGGTCCTACAAAGCCTGGCTGTGAGCCCGAGCCATCGACCAAAAACCAAATGCTCCATACAGATCACAGGCAACCCCGTCCTTCACTGAACAAGTTGCCTACGGGGTCCGTACCCAACTTATCTGTTTCAATGAACCCCATGAGGTCTGTTCCATCCGGATCGGTCGCGGTCAAGCGCGTCACTCTGACATCCAAGAAGAACTGGTGGATGGGTGCGCGTGCACTGTGGAAACAGAATCAACGTTGGACTAATCGTTGTTGCCAGTGGAGCTCGAAGAGGACGAGAACAAGTTGGATGTATCCCAGCCCTTCCCAACGTCTACTGAGCCCACTCTCAGCGACTTTATTCCCAAACTACCACCACCTCCACCGAACGTTCCTACCTCCCCACTCTACAATGCGCCAAGAAATCCGGCCGCCATCTTCTCCTTTCCCACCCCAGCCATCTACTCAGCGCCACCCAATCCAACCGCAGTATTGACGCCCTTCGCCCAGGGCTCCGCGTCTGAGCTTTTCAAGTGCATAGTGAAGAAACCCGAAGTGGTGCAGCTAGAGATCAATGGCGAAATGCAAAGCAATGCCCTGGATGTCACTACTCAGTTTCTCGCCGAGCTGCGTGTTTACACCCATGTAGCTCCTCATCGAAACATTCCCGTCTTTCTCGGGTGTCTCGATGGTATTGGCATGGTTCTTGAGTTCCTGGAGGGAGCGACACTTTACGATCACCTCAAGCAGTATGCGCCACTGCCACACCTCGCTTATGTGATTTTCATAATCAGCTGCTCGACGCCCTCACGCATATGCACGCGTACGGGTTGTCACATGGCGACATATCCTTACTCAACATCCAAGTGATCGAGAGGTGTGGGGAGCTCACCTTGAAGTTGCTCGACTTTGGTCGGTCTGTGGGAGCCAACTCGGTGGTCGTGCCACCAGACGGCAATCCAGTTGACCCTTGGGAACACCTCAATACAGACAGACCTGGGTCACGGATGGAACAAATATATCCGGGTACGCGTCCCTTCTCGGCTCCAGAGATTCTTCGAGGAGAATGCCATGATGCCCGGCTTGCGGACGCGTACAGTTTCGGAATGGTTTTGGTGTGCTTGGAGCGGGGGTATCTGGTTGATGTGAAACCCTGGGACCAGAGGAAAGACCTTTATCCTGGAGACCTTTTAACCGGCTGTATATTGTTCAGGGGAAGGATAACCCAATATTTAAGGAGATGGGACGAGCGAAGAAGACTATTACGAGAAGACATGGTCGATATAGCAAACGCTTGACTAACGGTGACGGTATGTCGAGATGATGATTCGATAGTTAACATACCAACTGACATCTTTTCAATATAGTGCATCTATCTAGGTTATACCCAGGGGATTGGAATTCCCGTTGACAATGTAGCTAACTAGATACCTTGTGTACTCTGAATTTATGATTTATCAGCGCACCGGCAAACCCCGGGCGGGAGTTGTAAACCGCCTTGTCGGTGTGGTGAATCACCCGTGACTTGCAAGTCGACCTACTCTTTCATGGCTTTCGTTCATCCTTCACGTATGGCATTCGTGCCCAGAGAGCCAGGCGCCATTCGCTCTTCCACACTTCCATCAAAACTCTCCGGTACTAACCAAGGGTGGAGTAGGGACGATGAACGTAATAATGACCGTGGTCGAGAGGACCGTAGTGGTCGTAGTCGTGACTATGGAAGACGGTACCTGGATCGAGATGATGATGGGCGACGACAGGGGCGGGGTGTTAGCAGTGAACGAGACTCGGACCATGAGCGGGATCGTCGTCGAAGCCGCGAACGTGGCAATCTCGACAGTTTCGATGACCATAGAGAGAGGAATGCTGGGGACAGCGGACCAAGAGGAACGCGATCCCAGCGAGATGGTCATTCTACTGCGCGTTCTCCTGGTCCTGCGTCTAGGTCTGCCAATGGCCGCGCAAGTCCTAGGTATGATGACTACTCTCGCTCCCGCCAAAATTCCACCCCACCTCGCGACTCCAACCATGGTGTCTCGGGGCCCCGGCCTTCTTCATCGCCATTACCACATGACAACAGATCCACGTTGCCAGAAGCTCCCGAAAATAGTCATCCTTGGCGCCAGCAAGAGAATATGTATAGGAGGGATGGTCGATTTGATGGAGGAGGAGACTATTTCGAACGGTATGTCTCATTGTGGATTGGTTTTCCCAAACGTTCACAGTGTTTTCCAGTCGACGGCAACAGCGTGCCAAGAGTACTTTCAGTATCTGGCCGCCATCCCCTCGTGCTCGCGCTCGGGAATTGTATCATTTTCCACTGCTCCTCGAGTTTTTCATTGCTTATTAAATCATCATAGGTCACTCGAACGAGACTTGGACTCGCACAAGAAGCATAAACGACATCATTCTCCTTCCACCTCGGTTTCATCAACAGATGGCGAAGAGGACCGGAAGCGTCGTGAAAGAAGAGAACGTAAACGAGCGCGGAAAGAAAAGGAGAACCGGGAGAGGCGTCAACGGCGATCACCAACTCGTTCAGATGATGAAGCCCGTGAGCGACATCGTAGAAAGAGTAAAAATAGCCGGTCAACAAGCCTCGAGCCTCACAAAACTCGGTCTCGGACGCGAAGCCCACGTCGTGAACAGTCAAGTGAGGAAGACGCATGGGTAGAGAAACCTGCACCGTCCGGTTCATTTGTTCCCGCTGTCCCGACCACTGTTGCTCTCCCGCACATTCCTTCACCGTCTGCCTCTCGGGCGGCCCAGAAGCAAGCCGTTGATGGTGACACATCTGATGAAGAAGTCGGTCCACAGCCAGCAGCACCGGCGACTACCAAGAAACTTGACGAGCGTGCTTACGGTGGGGCCCTCCTGCGCGGAGAAGGCAGCGCCATGGCAGCGTTCTTACAGGAAGGGACGGATGTCGCATCCCACGGCGTGGAGAAATTGGTCTTACCTCTAACGAAATTGACAAGTTCGAGTCAGTGGGATATGTGATGAGCGGTTCCCGGCATCGTCGTATGAACGCGGTCCGCATGCGCAAGGAGAACCAGGTTATCAGCGCCGAGGAAAAACGTGGAATCTTGAAATTGCAACAGGAGGAGAAACAGAGACGTGAGGCTATTTTGAGGGAGGAGTTCCAGGAACTCTTAACAGACAGGCTCAAAGGAGCAGAAGGCACCAAAGCCTCATAGATATCTTTGTACTTTCCATCTATTTCTACATATCTGTATTGCAGTTGCCATGCCCTAATGTGTTTCTTTGTTGCGAATTCAATGGCTCTTACAGCACCTTGGCATAGAGTGCAAGTGACTGGTGTATGGGGACACTGGCTGGTAGATTAAGAAATAAATTCTACACACGAGAACATGGACGGGTGGGTAAGACTAAGTCCTCAAAGTTCTTGATGACCACCTTTGCTAGTCAATCCGACAAGCTCAACGTCAAAGACTAAGGCCGAATTGGCCGGAATAATAGAACCAAATCCTCGATCTCCTGAACAGGACGTCAACGGTGAACATGTGCAATACAGGTGACAAACCGTAGGCCATGTGGGAAGGGATGGTAAGCGTGCGCTTTTCGCCAACACACATCCCTACGAGTCCCTCATCCCAACCTTTGATGACTTGTCCAGCGCCAACTAGAAGGGTCAGATGGATCAGAAATGTAAGAAAATATCGAGAGGGATAGCCGCACGTGTCACAGGTAGAGGTTGTCCACGATCGAGGCTATGTCGTTTGTCAACATAGACCGTAAAGCGAGCGATGATAGAACAAAACAACGTACCTCGAGTCAAATTTATTGCCGTTGGAGAACAGCTTTCCAGTCTGTAGGAGGAAAAAAGGGTTGAGTCACGCGGGTCAGACGTGGAGACAATCGACGTACGTAGTGGACCTTGATCGCGTCACCCTTTTGAGATTTGACCTGGCAGTCCGTGGGCTCATGCGTCGTCCTTATGTCCAGCACTGTTGGTTGTTGTTGAGCCGACACTAATATCCCGAAAGCAAGAAGAGATAAGCAGTGCAAGAGCTTCATTTTGGGACGTTGTTGCACCTGCTCGTCCCGATTGGGGGCTCACTTACTTTCGGGAGAAAGCTTTGTCAGCTTTACAACTGTACAGTTCTTACGTATCGCCTAACCTAGTTTCAGATCTTCACCATCCCCTGCCCGGACTCGTCTGCTGAACAAAATCCATAGAATGGTGCGCACACTTATCAACGTAGGATTCTGACTGCCCGTTTGTTTATCGGTTTCTTTCCACTAGCCATCTCAAAAATCATTTCGTACAAAGCGCATCCTTGCGAAAAAGCAGCGCCAGAACCGGTAAGCTTTCCTTTATTTTGCTCCTGCGGTCGTTTCGTGCTCATCTTGGAATGCAGGTCCATTCCTCAATGGTTCCGGTTAAGAACTGGCACCAAGATCCAAGTGCGTTATCTCGTGTTATCTCGTCCGTGTGGTGTATTCTTCGAAAGTGACATTTACTTGCTTGCACTGCAGTACAATGCCAAGCGCCGTCACTGGAGACGCACAAAGTTGAACATATGAATGTGTGGTGGAAATTGTCACCATACAATCTCCATGATTCCTGTCTGGGATGCCGACAACAGGACAGGTCTTAGCGGGCCCATTTACTGGTCACACATATTCCGTTTGTCTTTTTTCTCCCAGAAATGTAATTTCAGAGCCCCTCCCTCCTATTCTATTACGAAAGTTTGAGATGGGCAACCAAATTTTGTTTTGGCTGGCGCATGGTGTATTAATGGCTGCTTCAAACTCATGTATAATGTCGAGCAAAGACGTGATGAAACATGGCATACACCTCATTCAATTGCTTTGAAGATAACTTGGTACTACTGGGCTTATAAAAAATGCATCAGCCGGGAGTCGAACCCGGAGCTAGGCCAGTCACTTGGAGTGGGAAGACCCAATGTTACCGCTACACCACTGATGCCATACTAACACTACCAAGTACATCCTTTCCGTAGTAGCGTCGGTGTAGTCGCTGACAAATCCTTTCCAAACTGAGAAATGAGTGACTGAGTGACTCTGTTGTTGTTGTACCAAAACCAAAATGGCGGATGTACCGACGTTAAGTATTACGCTCCTGGGTGCAGGCCAGGAGGTTGGAAGGTCGTGCTGCGTGCTTCAATACCGAAATATTACCCTTGTCTTGGATGCTGGTGTTCACCCCGCCCATACCGGCATGGCATCATTGCCATTCATTGATGAGCTAGACTGGAGCACAGTAGATGCTATACTCATTACCCAGTGCGTTCCTCTTTCTGTACAGAACCTCAGATCGATACCTATAAAGCGTTTTCAGTTTCCATCTGGATCATGCAGCGGCCTTGACATACATTACCGAAAAAGTGCGTAGGGCGTACTCGATCGCATTTATTCAACTCCTCAGCCCAAATAGACCAATTTCAAAGAAGGGAAAGGAAAAGTTTACATGACTCATCCCACGAAGGCTCTTCACAAGTTTATGATGCAGGACTTTGTTCGGATGAGGTGCGACGCAGGATAGGCGTTACCCTTATCCACCATCACTCACGTCTCTTTAGCAACTCATCGACTGATGCACTAATTTCACCTCTTGATCTATCAATGTCTATCTCGTCCATCATCCCTGTTTCTGTTCACCAGCTGATCATGCCTTGCCCTGGTGTGACGTTTACGCCATACCATGCGGGGCACGTTCTTGGCGCGTGCATGTACCTGATCGACATAGCCGGCCTCAAAATCCTTACACAGGTGATTATTCTCGCGAAGAGGATCGCCATCTCGTCAAGGCCGAGATACCTCCCGTACGTCCGGATGTTCTCATCGTCGAGAGTACCTACGGCGTCCAAAGTCTCGAGGGACGTGAAGAAAAGGAACTGCGCTTCACGAACCTAGTACACTCCATTATTCGCCGCGGAGGGCACGTTTTACTGCCAACATTTGCCTTGGGCCGTGCGCAGGAGCTATTGCTTATCCTTGATGAGTACTGGAAGAAACACCCTGACTTGCACAATGTTCCCATTTATTACGCGTCAAGCCTGGCGCGAAAGTGTATGGCTGTGTATCAAACGTACATCCATACCATGAATTCCAATATCCGATCAAGATTTGCGAGGAGGGATAATCCATTTGTCTTCAAGTACGTTTCTCGTCTCCTAAAAATAGCTTGTTTTCGATACCTGCCTAGGCACATATCAAACGTACCCCAAGCCCGTGGCTGGGAGCGCAAAATTGCCGAGGGGCCTCCCTGTGTCGTCCTTGCTAGCCCCGGAATGTTACAATCTGGCACAAGTAGAGAACTCCTCGAACTCTGGGCTCCCGACTCTCGAAACGGCCTCGTTGTCACTGGTTATTCCGTTGAGGGTACACCTGCGCGGGTGAGTCTCTTCTTATTTTGGGGTCTAGGAAACAGTGGTATTTTTTCGCGTGTGTATATACGAAGCAATGGACATCATTCTCCCATCATGTGTGAACACCTAAGGCTTCTACATCACGAAAGTTACAGTTCGAGAACTTCGCTAATGAATTCTATGAATAGGAAATCATGAATGAACCGGAAGAAATAATTGGAATGAAGGGCAACCCTATCCCGCGCAAACTCTCTGTGGACTACATTTCCTTTAGCGCACATGTCGACTATTCACAAAACTCAGAATTTATCGACTTGATCAAGGCCCCTCACATAGTACGTCCTCCTAAATGATTCCACAGCTCATCGCTGGACGAGTATCGTAGGTCCTTGTACATGGCGAACAAACGGCCATGGGTCGCCTCAGGGCTGCGCTACAATCCAAATATAAGAACCGGGATGAGGATATCAAGATTTACTCACCTCGCAACCTTGAGACATTGGATCTCACTTTTCGCCCTGAGCGAGTAGCCAAGGTAATCGGCGACCTGGCCGCAAAGCCACTCAAGACAAACGACGTCCTGTCTGGTTTGCTCGTGTCGAAAGACTACTCGTATACACTATTGGACCCTCGCGATTTACGTGACTTTGCGGGGCTTTCAACCTGTGTTGTCACGCAACGCCAGAAAATAGCCCTCGGTGTAGGATGGGAACTCGTAAGATGGCATTTGGAGGGTATGTATGGCCGCATTGAAGAGGGGCTGGATAAAGACGGGATTCCCACAATGCGGGTAATGTTTTCTTGGCGTTATTCCCACCAAGACGGAATTAGACTGATGAAGGTCGCGCCAGGTAATGGGTGCGGTAGACATAAAGCAGACCTCTGAGCATGAGCTCACGCTGGAGTGGGACTCGAGCGCTGCAAACGATATGATTGCTGATTCAACACTCGCAGTCATCACGGAAATTGACAAGAGTCCTGCGTCGGTAAAGAGTATGGTCACTTGCGATGCCACCTGTAGATATGCAACTCGCAAACTAACTTTTGATACCCAGTGACGTCTGGAACGCAACGGCATCAACACGAGCATCACCCGCATTCGGATCACGATTACAAGCATAACCCAATGTTACGCATTCAGCGGCTGGGCATGTTCCTGGAAGCCCATTTTGGCGAGGTCGAATACCACATGCCGGATGAAGAAATGGAGACAGATCAAGAAGGGGCGACACCTGACGGCGAGCCGTCGTTTCTAATCCAATTAGATGATGCCGAGGCTCGAATTAAGCTGCTTTCTATGGTATGTCCCTTTATTCCCGCATGGCCTGGATTTCCTGTCGTTGACAGCATGCACAGACGGTTGACAGCAATAGTGAGTTGCTACGGAGACGTGTCGAAGCGGTCCTTGACATGGCAGTGACCACGGTGAGCTCGCTGAGCGAGTCGTTCGCATCTGGAGCTCCCGAGGATATTACGAATGGACACACGCATAAAAAGAAAGGCGACATATCCCCGTCAGAGGTGCAAGGGGAGAGTGATGTAATCGGACCTGACGACGATGCGGGGCGGAAAGCAGTGGCCGATGATGATCATGATGATGATCAGACTTTGCGCCGAGAGTTGGAAACCCAATAAGCCATAACAAAAAACTTGAGTTACGCTGTGCAGTTTACTAGGCTACAGTTGTTAGTTCCTACACTAGACTAGACTAGTTCAGTTAAATCAAATCCAATCAAAAAAAACGGCAAGTGCCTGTTCAGGGATGAAAGGGATCGATACTAGTAGAACCGACGTGGCAGACCCTGGTGGCCACTTTCCCTCCGCCGCTTTTTTTTTTCCCTTGAAATTTTTTGCCGTCATCATCGTCGGAGGTGTGTGTGCGGAGATGCTTCGTAGTCTATCAACCGCACCACGTCCGCCTGTTCCGCCATCCTCTTTCCCAACGGGACTTGATCCGAAAGGAGCACATCCTGGTGATCGCAACCGGACCCGTGTAGAAAGCAATACTCGACGCGGGCCTCGCGTTGACATGAATTTTGAACAAGCATTGAAAGCGGGTGGAACGATGGTAATCAAAGAGGGTATTGATGTCGATTCATTAGGCGAACTGGAAGACTCGCCAGTCACTGTCAAATTACAGACTTGCTCTTCATCTTCCACTTCATCTTCCTCCACACTCTCTCCACCGACTTCTTCCCGACCCCAAAGTGTGATTCAACCCGCGGTCAATCCTGCCATGTCATCCTCGGCCTCCACACAACTCAAAGGTTCACTTCCTTCCTCATCTTGCCGACCTCCCGCTTCCGTATCAACATCAGCTTCTTCTTCTTCTAATGATCTCTTTTATGACGCTGAAGACCCGGAGTATCAAACACGCCGTCGCTCTATGTATAGATCCCAGGGAACCGCGAGTAGTCCAGACCTCGCTACTCTCGTCCGCAAGGCCAAACAGAGAGGAACTGTACTACCATCGCAACTCGTCACCAAGGATAAGCGCCAGGAATCTGCACCGCCATTACCTACAAGCTTACATGCACCTCCTGACCCTGCTCCGCGAACCCGACAAAGATCCTCTACTTCATCCTCTGGTTATTCCGGCCCCGCTTCGACGGCTATGTCAAAAGCCAAGGTCCCTAAGTCCATGCAATCTTCTGCTCCATCCGGCGGTGGCGCTGATTGGGTGCTGACGAGCCCAGCACGCGACGACGGGACCGCCAAGGCAAGTGTCCAGTCGTATCCTGCCCCGCGAGGGATACTGAAGACCACACAGAATTCGAAATCTTCCGTTCGGCAAAAGACGAGTACATTTTGGGGCAGGTTCCTGGGTCAGAACACAACGCGCGAACGCTCAGTTCGTTGTCCTTTTCAGCCCCGTAGCCTCCGATTTGACGCATCTTCCTACAGAAAACTGACGCATCACGGCGAATGGTTCAATCACCTCCGCCAGTACCTCCCTTACCGGGAGACCGCGCTTCTCCCGTTGCACCTCTCGCATCAGACTCTCCCATGACTTCTTCCCTACCAAACACCATTCGAGCCACATCGGGTATATCAAAGCCCCTACCTCCACTTCAAACTGAAGTTAACAACAATGATGATGGCGGCGTTTCGATCAACAACCCATCACTTATCGTCGAACTCGCAGAGTCGTCGCCCCAGTCGCCTACTGCTGAGATGACATTACGCCCCCGTGATGCCATGGTGCAGCCGCTCAGGGTAATGGGTCACGGCAAACGTCGAAGTATGTCAGTGGGTGAGGCAGACTTCAATAAGAAGCCCACGAACCCCACTTTGGCAGTTGTACCACCACCCGCCAATGCACTCGGGAAGCGTAGTGAAGATTCGATGGGCTGGGACTCTACTATACGTGGCATTCTCTCCAACTTTAATGGAGAACTGTCACAGCTTGATCAAGATTCGGTCACGCCGAGCACGCTGGACCTTCAAGTGCCGTCTACGTCTACACCATCTCAACGGCTACGCATGCAGAGTGCCGAACCAACTACCTCCACATCGCCGCAACCCGACACTGGACGGGCGGCATCATCGCCTCGACTACTTTCGAAGCCAAACCCAACCATCATTGCTCATGCGCCAG